GAACACGATAATGTATGTCATGCATGATTTAGCACCAAAAATCTTACGAAACGAGCTCGTTTAAAATATGTATCAGAAAACCAGCTATAAAACCGCATCAATGACATACTATAGAATCATTACACGCTATGGTGTAGTCTAAACAAACACTGGATTTGAACGGCTATTTATATGAGAAGGCTACATGAATTTGTATATGGCCAGTGATACGTACAGGTTCAGTTTCGATTATATATGCAAAGCTTAACCTCTCCAATGTATCTTTAATTCTCCGTAATATAAGATAATATTCTAAATAAAATAATATATCATTTTAAAGCTACCTCTATGACTTTTTTGAATTGAGTACACTCCGTTCACATCTCTTGTTCGTTTTTATTAAAAGAGAATTATTTTCCTAAAAATCTGTCAAATATCCGATGTCGACACGCTCGATTTGAGTATTTTTTCATCTTTAAACGCTCATAACTAAAACAATATTTCACAATTATAAATAATTTTCGTATTGATAAAGGAAGACGGGAGTGGTATTTCAAAAAGATGATTTCTCATATGCATTCCATATTGTGACGTCATATAGTATGAAAAATAGAAAATTCGACAGCGACCTTTTTGCTAATTTTTGTAGTGCAAATATGGCCTAATCACATTTGCGCGGTAGTTATGGAACTTAAGTGTATATTATTACATTGTATATATGTGTACGTTATAATTGTTTACTTATGGAATATATTATCATCATCTAAACAATAATTGTTGTCTGACATAAAAATAGACCTAATTTTCGCCATTCACCTATTTTCAAACATAGCAATGCATTTGTTCTTTTCCCCTAGAATTAACAAATCTCTCGTGTTTTTAATGCTCCTAACCCTTTGCTAATATATTTATGATATCAGAGTTATTCATCCTAAATATTTTGAGATTTAGAGGGTAGTGGAGGATGAAAGAATTTCCATGTGCACATTTTTCTCAAAAACGTCACATTTTATCATGTTAAAGAGCGAAAATGTGTAACAATTAGTTACAATTCACGCACGAACCTTTTTGCGACGTGTCAGATAGAATCAGCGCTAAATTCCCCGCAAAAATAATATATCCTAACTGATTAAACTGAATCATTCTTAATTTATTTTAAGCATTTTATTGCAAGCATACAGGATACAAAATATAAGATACGTACCTTTCATCATCATATTTCATAAATTATATTCAATGGCAGGTATTCTTATATTATCAAATGTTAAATGAAAGACTATAAATGCCTAGCTACATATACTGTATAGAGTATTGCGGTATCATACGATACCGAAACCGATACATACTTTCAAGAATCTTTGGACTACCCTTGTATGTCACATCTGAGACTAACCTCAGGTCACTTGTTTTATAAGTTAACTATAAAGACCACTGTGCACTTGTCATTATAACAATTAGTTGGTCTCTTGATTTGGTTATCTCTGATATGGTATTCGAATAACATAGATCTATGCAACTTACACATGACATTATACAAGCTAATCAATTGTGATCTTATATGAAACTGGAATTCTAAACATGTACTTGGTGTTCTTGAAATCATTAAGATGTTTGTTTATCTCGTCAAAAGGTTTCGAATTTCAATTTCATATGAGACAGCAACTGATTATTTCATATCACAACTTATATACTGTATATACAAACTGTAAGTGTAAATCTGTCATAAGAAAAGCAGACCGTATACATCCCAAAACCATGATCTAATGTGAAAAGAAACAATGTCCAACATCCCCCTCCCCCCTCCAATCGAGAACCAATATCACAATCCAGGACCAGAACACCAAGGGACATTTCATTCATACTGAAGTCATTACAATACATGTTGAAGAAAAATTGAAAGAAATTGATAGCCAAATTCTCAAATTCAATATTCCGTTTAGTGATTTACATGACCTTAGGCCTAAGGTCTCATCAATGAATGGTTTCCTTATACACCCGACCTAAGGCCTAAGGTCTCGTCGATATACGTGTTTATACCGTTTACATGACCTTAGGCCTAAGGTCTCAATAATGAATGGTTTATTCATATTTCCTGACCTTAGGCCTAAGGTCTTATCATTGAAAACTTCAATACACTGACCTTGGGCCTAAGGTATAGATGACATATTACAGACCTTAGGGGGTTAGTTGAGAATGTAACTGAAAAGTTGAGAACGTGATCAATACTCATAACATCAAAAATAGTTGTAGATACTAGTACTCATAAAAGATAGAGTATGCAGTCTCAAATGATGTGGGATAGATAAAATCCAGTCTCGAAGTACATAGGCAATTCAAAGGGTCAACATCCGTTCGCAAAGCCGTCATCATAATCCATAAAACACAACAATTCACAATGGTCATCAGGAGAAAAATATGGCTGGTTTCGATCCCTATTTAAAATACATAACATGGTTTAACGTATATCATATGATATTCATCTTACTCGGGTATTGCTTTTTTGGCCCGCCCTGTATATAACTATAGGTTATCGTTTTGTCCGTTTTTCAATCAAAAATCGGTTACAGCAATACAAGAATCTGATATTTTTTGAACGCAATTGACACTGGATACTTGCCAACATTTATCCCTCTTCATGTACAAGACATATCATAATCAAAATACTATTTTTACCTGAAATAAATGTATCTGTTTCGCTTGTGGTTTCATAGTGCTTGCGTAAACAGCTATTGTCCTGTTTGGTACAATGCACTTGTAAAATTGGACGTGTTTCTAGAACTAGAATCTCTATTTCAATTTCGATCGTAGTATCGGTTTCCCATTGACCCATGTTTTTATTTTTACGAATGATTTATACACTCCCCTCCATAAGTTTGGCAACCTTAGCTCCCCCATTGAACTACGTGTTAAAGCATCTTTACGTTTGAACTTTATGTAGCTTGACTTAATTTCAAATACCTCCAAATTTTCCCAATTTTTTTCCTCAATTACAATAGGTCGAGAATTTATGATAAAGATGAATATTTGAAAATCGTCATTCCCATGTAATTGCCTACCTAATTTTTTGCAAGGACTCGGATGGATGGATATTATGTCAGATGACTTACGGCAAACCTACCATTTCCCATTGGTTAACATCGGAATGTCGATTTTCAAAAATTCATCAAATTTTTCATAAATTTTCGACCTATTGTAATTGAGGAAAATATTTGAGAAAATTTAGAGGTATTGGAAATAAATATTTTCATCTTAGGTTAAGTAAATAAATAAGTAATAAAAATCCAAAGGTAAAGAGGCTTTAACACGTAGTTCAATGGGGGAGCTAAGGTTGCCAAACTTATGGAGGGTGTATGTGTTACAAACGATGTTACACTCCCCTCCATAAGTTTGGCAACCTTAGCTCCCCCATTGAACTACGTAACTGAGTATTTCGCAATACAAAACAAAAGCAGATTGATAATTTCTGTCAGGTGACAATTTATTTTTTGACGTATTATTTTCCCACCGAACGAAGTTCGAGGGGGATAAAGAAAAGCCGTCCGTCCGTCCGTTCGTCCGTCCGTTTGTGTGTCCGGGCTATAACTCAAATACCGGTCGACGGATTCCATTCAAATTTTATAGTCGTATGCCTTATGGATGTAGGACCTCCGCTCGAGAAGAAATTTTCAATATGGCCGCTAAATTCAAAATGGATGCCATTTTTCGGAAAAAATATAATCTTTGATAACTCAAATACTAGTGAATGAATTTGGTTCAAATTTTATATGCTGTTGCCTGGGTACAAAAGAGCCTTGCTCAAGAAGACATTTACAAGATGGCCACCAAATTTTAAAATGGCGGCCATTTTTCGTAAAAAACGTTATCTTTGTTAACTCAAATACCATTCAATGGATTTGGTTCAAAATTTACATGCTGATGCCTAGGTACATAGGAGCTCTGCTCCAGAAGGGATTTTCAAGATGGCCACTAATTTCAAAATGGCCGTCATTTTTCAACGTAACGTTACCTTTGATAACTCAAATACCAGTTGATAGATTTGGTTCAAATTCTATATGCTGATGCCTAGAGATAAAGAAGTTCTGCTCTGGAAGACATTTTCAAGATGGCCACTGAATTTCAAAATGGCCGCCATTTTTCGTAAAAAACGTAGTCATTGATAACTCAAATACCAGTGGATGGATTTGGTTCCAATTTTATATGCCAATTTTTAGGGAAAAGGGAGATCTGCTTCAGAAGAAATTTCAAAGGCGTCAGCTGAATTTAAAAATGGCTTCCATTTTTCATAAAAGGGTAATCTTTGATAACTCAAATACCATTGGACGGATTGACTTCAAATTTTGTATACTGATGCCTAGAGATAAAGGAGCTCTGCTTGAGAGAAATTTTCAAGGTGACTGCTATTTATCGAAATCTCTGCCATTTTTCATTAAACATGTAATCCTAGATAAATCAAGTACCAGTTGACGGATTTTGATTAAATTCTTCATGCTGATGCCTTGGGACATAGGAGCTCTGCTAAAGAAGAAACCTAAATATGACAGCTGAATTTCAAAATGGCAACCATGTTTCATAAAAACATAACCTTTGATAATATTCAAATACCAGTGGATGGATTTTGCTCAAATTTTATATGGCCGCTTTTTATCAAAACATGTTTTGTTCGGTGGGATTTGCTACTCCGTGGAGTTGCTGTTTTTCTAGTGTTTATCTTGAGTAAGTTTTAATCAATAGACTCACTTAGCTCAATACTTTTATTTATGTTAGCAAATTATGGTAGTTCCATTTTGTTTTTGCTAACGGTGCGGAACTTACAGTACTAAACTTCCGTCATCGCGAACCAATAGACGTGAAAATGTGCAGATTCAATGATTATTTGTGCAGAACTAGTATATGTTAATGAACTAGTATATGTTTGTTTTGTGAAATATGAATTCCAAGAGAAACATCTCGATGCACATACAGTTTATCTTTTTTCTTGAAGGTGGCACTCGCATATGTTCGTAACGTCATGTGTCCATCCAGAAATGGCTGAGCTGTCCTCGTATGTTATTTATTCATTCTCTTGTCATACTGGCCTTCTTGCACTATTCCAATATGTGTTTTTAAATACATCACTGGAGGGACGGATACGCGCGTTGCATTTACCAGCGCATTCTAGTCACGTAGGTCACGACCGCAAAGTGTTCTCAAGTCGGGTAAATTGCCTATCATCTGATTTCCAGTTATCACAGAATTCAAGGCAGAAGTTAGGAACATAACTTGGGACTACTTTGTCTCTTTTAATCCCAATTACTAGGGGAATAATCCGATGAAGTCGCCGTGTATATATGAGCTTCTTGAAGACCTTCTCTAGCGTCGTCATACTGAAGTTGTCCTTTTTAAAGTCCTCGTCAAAGACGATAAGAATGTATTGACATTTATCGACTGCTTCTGAGATTTCCGTTAATGAGTCTTTATCTTTGGAATCGCGTTGTGTGAAGTATCCTCGATGACCCCTATCTTCGAGAAGTTTCAGGATATATGTCGCCCTATCGTATGAGATCGGCGACTTGCCGTTACACATCATCCAAAATCCGTAATCCATTGCGTGCTCTGAAATTGTAGAGTGATTTTCGTCTTACCATAATGTATGACTTTAGCCCGAAAACGGATGGTTTCAGTATTAATTTTTGATAAACATTTTCAAGCTGAGTTCAAGTGTCGAAAAAGGAATGCAAACGTAAGATTTTAAAAAATTAGCAGAAATACAGGGTGTACAAAAAAATTAGGGAACATCAGAAATTTATTAAAAATAATATGCTGTTGAGATTTTTTTCATGTTATCAATTTATTTCTTATATAAACAATTACAATCGATTACACTTACATGATATGATATGAAGGTTATTCAATGGGCCGGGATAATTGAAAATAAGAAATCAATGAGCCATGACTGAGATTTAGGGACGAAAATGGGCCATTTCTTTGTGAAAAGGAAAAATTTTCATCGGAAGCTAGGAAAAAGTGTTACATTCAATTATTATAGAATCGTAAAATGCTTTAAAATTATGATTATGATTATACACAAGTTGCGTGGCCAGTTTTACACCCCTCTGGGTGTCGTAGCCTGCTTCTCTCTGTATGATAAATAAATAAAATTACTTTGGATTGAATTGAAATTGAAAATGTTTAAAAATCGTTACTTACGTGTTCTGCATATATGCAAGCCATATAAACCTGTATAAGCCGTATAAAATAGAAAATACATACCTTCCATTCATAAATCTCTTGCTTGTGTATTATACATGATCATAGGTAATATCTGTGATGTTATTTGAAAAATAACAGAAACGCATAGCTATATGAATGAGTTCCAGTAGCTTTTGAAACCGAAACTCGAAACTTCCATTTCAAGAAACTCTCATGACATGTGGATGACCCTAGTTTGTCGTGTACCTTGTACTACAGTTAGCTCTTAAACTACAAAAACACTTGACATTATTATTTTTCTTCGGTGTCTTGATTTGAAGCTGGTGTTTGTCTCCGATTTGGTATTGAATTCAAAGATACAATTGTATCTTATACACAACGTTGAAATCAGTTGTGATATTATAATATGAAATCGAAATACAAAACTTATATTTGTTGTTCTTGAAATCGTTAAGATCTTGTCTATCTCTTCAAGAAGTTTCGGATTTCAGTTTCATATGACACTAGACAATATATAATGTACTGTTTCGTATGATTAAACTAAATATTTAAAATGCTTGACGACTTTGTTCGTCTATGTATGTATCTAGGATACAAAACGAACAACTTTTCTTGTATTTCTGTTTTTCATTCGGGTGACTGAGGTTGAACGATGAGTAACACCGAAAAATATGAGTATCGACAAGTGAACAATGAGGCAAATGGACAAGTTATCGATTGTCTTGCTTTCGGCAATCACCTGGAGCCCAAGGTGGCAGACAAGGTTTGTGACGCCCATGGCAAGAATTCCATGATGAATCAGAAAAGGTCTTGGAGAATGAAAAGGTGTGTCATTCTAGTAGTGATTGCCGCTGTCGTCGCTACGGTTTCACTTGTTGCAGTTGTTTTAATTGTAAAAGGTAATTTGATTAAATGCTAAAACGTTATAGAAAATTAACTTTTCAAATTCGTTTAAAAGTTGACTCGTCGACGATTTATATGCATTGATTTATTTCAAAGGATCTTGATCGATAGACAGATGACTCTTAGTCTGATTTATCAGTTACAATAAATGGTAAAACAACATTATTATCTTTCTGTCGACCTTAAACCTATGGTTAAATGAGAAACAACTAGGTGTTATTAACATAAGAACAAGTAATTAGGCCTTACCTTTTTACACGCTTGATCAGCTGATAACCAACGGATAAATACTCAAATCATCAATACCACTGTTACAACTATCACTTGTGAGATATTCATGAAATAATACTTTTTGCATATCCATTTATCCATTTGTTTATATTTTAAGGACAAGATCATGACACGAGGTACAAAGACAGTAACGAGCCTGGGAGTAATGGAAATGACTTGACGATTCACAAAGCCACATCTTCACCAGATGACACTGAAAATATTATCATCACAATAAAAACGCACGATGTACTTGGAATGAACTACACAAGGACACATACTTTTATGTGCAATCTGTTTCCTCATGTCTTGCCAAAGTTGTGTAGTAGTGTCTAGGAACATATCATTGATTGACAAAACTTCTGCTATTGGTATAAGAAAGTTGAATTGTCGATTGGGAAACGTTTTCTCAACGCTACAATGAAAATACATTTATTTTGTACAAAGTCACCGATTGTACGTTGAAAAACGTTAATTATCTGATTGATTTTGTGATATCACACTTCTGAAAAATGAGTAACCATGATTTTGATGGGTTCAATGAATTATACCTAGTAATTGTACGTGTAGTGTATCTTTGTTGCAATTTGGTACAGATATAGCAAAATATTAAACATGATCATATATTAAGTTAAAAGTTTTTCTTCATCGAGGATAATAAAGTCTGTGACTTTTCATTTGCTTAGAAGTATTATTCAAGGCAGAATTAATTCCATAAGGAATGTCCATCCCCTTGACAAGCTTTTTAATGCGATGATCAAAGGAAATATTTTTGTTAAGAAAAATCCAAGACGTTACAATCGGCAGGGGTTTTCCTTCTAATAAATAGTATTGAGATGGGAATTTTTTTGAGGTACTACTGAGGGTAATATCAGCACTTTTTGATGGTTTAAACAATGCTTTCAATCTATCTTACCAAAAAATCAAATAAAATCAAATAGGACATCTTCATTCTAGCCGTGAGTGAATCGATTTTGCCGTAAACCAGTATAAGTTCCCCTTTGCTTTGTGGGAGCGGCGGTCGGATCCTCTACACTTTTTAAACTGAGGTTATAGTGTTCAATAAAATCGGTGAGTTGTTAAGAATAGCAGATAGCTTAAACGAGTAATGCTTTCGGTTTCAGTTTCATATATGGATGTTTCGTAATAGGTTTACTATGATTGCTTTACTTTATACTACCCAAGTTCTACCGTGTGAAGTGTTGATCATGATACGTTCCTATGAACTTTAGAAACTCGAAGATTAACAGACTTGGGATCTTAAAATATATTGAATGATGAAAATAAATGTCGTCTATGCATAGATTTTATGCACACGACTGATCATTTTAATCAGAAAAATGTTCGTTTGGACTTACACAAAAGGAATTGCTGCAGCCTACAGATTATGAATTGTACGTTTTCAAATATTTTAAAGACCGTTTGATAGACGTCTACGATTGTTTTAGAAACTTCTAATTAACAACCGTTGGATGAAATGGCAATGGACCAATGTGAAAATGACATAAATGATGCAACTTTAAAATCTCTAGGACATGTGGTGGATGAAATCACTTTGACAGTTCTTCGGCTATACAATCGGAGTATCACAACACATAACGATGAGTATAAATTAGAATGTTTTACTCGTAGGCTGTTTTGCTGTCAATATGGTTTTGGGGGTATTACTGCATTGAAATTCACATTAAGTATATGACTTAAATTGTATGACATTAAAAGTAAAAACTAAAAAAAACTGAAATATCGGGTGTCCCAAAAACCAGCCACTTATTGACAAGTATTATCTCAGCAACTGATGAACCAAATCCACTTAACATTTGTACAGAGTAACTCAAATGTATCGTTAGCAAGGTACAAAAAAAATATGAAAAAGATACATGTAAAGGAAATTTTATCTGAGAACTTAGAAATTCAAGATAGCATGTCATAATATCCCATACCGGAGCAACGCAGTAAGGACTTTATAGCGTTTGTACCAAAAAATGAGAAGCAATTTGACAAGCAATGTATAAGCCAAATTATTTGAAAACTTTACCTGGGGCTCTTTAGGGTATCTTCTGCTAGTGCCATGAATATGTCAGAGATTGGTCTCATATTATTGTTTGGTGCATTTTAAGATTAAAGGCAGTATGTCAAAATAACCAATATCAATGTGAAAGCCACATATTAATCCATTTCCAAGCAAAAATATTTTTCCATATTTATTCTAACAATATCACCTCCAATGGATTTTGAGAATGAATTGGATTTTGAAAATTTGAAATAAATGAAAAGAATTAATCAGACATCACTCGGCTCCGATCGAACGCAGTGAAGACCGAGCGTGCGAAGTTGAGGTCTCATATCAGAGCTCCGGTATGGGAATTTTTGACATGCTATTTTGAATTTCTTAGGAATCCCACAATCAGCTTATGATACTCTTAGGCTGCTTTGTACAGTGAATTTGGTTTATCAGTTGCCGAGAAATTATCATTCAGTATCAGTACAGAGTTTCCCCGGACTAGTATAAATCAACTATGAAAAAACGTTTTGTAAAATACTTTATACAGGGTGGTCAAAGGACGGAAACCCTGTATTTTCCTGATACATTTATAATTTTGAATGACACGGATGATCTCACTTTTGAGGTCTGTAATTGTCCTGAGGTCATTCTCATACACTCTATCTTTGCCATATCCCCACAGGTAGGGACATTTTGGACGACGTTTGCAGGTTTGCCTAAAGCGCAATATTGGCTAACAGCGCATGTTTTTAAAGTGCTGTAACATTGTGACAATTAAAGCATGTACAAATGTGTCAAATATCAGGGAGTAATTTTTTAAAATGACGAAGATATGAGGAAAATGGCGTAAGGGTTTCCATTTTTTACCACCTAGTATTTATATAAATTCTATAAAAGCTTACACATGTTTTTTTGGATATAAATTGGGCTTTAACCCAAACGCATTCAAAAAATTTAATTTATAATGATCGTTACGCTAGATGATTTAAGCCCAAGACTCAATGTACTATTGGATATTGTGGATGATTTGTACTCCACTAATGAGTTGTTTCCAGACCTTTACATGAGTGCGGAAGCAACAGGCGGGAAAAAGCAGGAAACAACGCATGGGTGGATTTAATCGTCCACAATGCATTGAGTTCTGGCTTTAATACACTTTACACGTTGCAAAATATTTCATTAGTATCACTTAAAAGAATGAATTTCCTGCGAGGAAATTTTAATGTTAGAGTTTACTAGGTCAAAACTAACATCAATTTTGTAACCTTAACATTTAACACTAACCATTTGGCCATTTAGCCACCTGATTTTTATAGATTTTCACTCAATTATGAAACTATTGTAATCAGTTTCACTAGAACCTCAAAATAACCCAGGCGCATTGGACACTGGACAATCTTGACAACAGTAAAGTCAGATATTGTTGTCACAAATGGCGGCGACAGGTTCGTCGTATTCGATTCGATTTTCATTAACTACACCAAGATTAAATTCCTTTGATACAACGATCAACCAACAAAGTGTTTTCAATTCATCGTATTGTTAGATATTTTCTATTATCAGCATAAAGGCTTCAGTTTACCGAGCAAAATATGACAGAGGACAACGGAAGTGTATAAATAACAACAATGAGGGTAAAATCGGGATGTCAACGGTAATAATTGACAACGGCATTTATAAAAACAACGGTAAAGTGTCTTGTTCACGTTACCATTTGCCTAAGTTCCAATGCAATACATCCACCATAGTCCGTTGTCAAATCTTACCATCTGTCGTTGTCTATGTTAATTATTAAAAATTCAGATTCCGTTGTCATTGATCACGATATGGAAGACGGGTGTACACTCCCCTCCATAAGTTTGGCAACCTTTTTTCCCCCATTGAACTACGTGTTAAAGCCTCTTTACCTTTGAATTTTTATTTACTTAACCTGCGATGAAAATACTTATACTATTGATGGAAACGTAATTTGACTTTAATTCCAATGCCTCCAAATTTTCTCAATTTTTTTCCTCAATTGCAATAGGTCGAAAATTGATGATGAATTTGATGAATTTTTGAAAATCGACATTCCCATGTAAACCAATGGGAAAAGGTAGGTTTGCCGCAAGTCATATGACAGAACATCCATCCATCTGAGTCCTTGCAAAAAATACGAGTTAGGCAGGCAATTGGATTTGCTAACTTTATTTAACAAAAAATTGATATGTTTTTTCAGGTTCAACAAAGTTATAGGGCTTTAAAGTCAAAATTGTTTTTCAAAAAACCTCTCCCATTGAAATAACACAGGAGGCGAAAAATTATTTTCAAACATGAGTTTGAAGCGCTGTAACTTTAATATTCATCAAATAAACTAAACACTTAGTGTTAAAAAAAGTTAGACAATCCAATTTTCTATATAAAAATATTTTTTGCTGAATCTTTTACTGAAAAGATATCCTGATTTCTGATTTGCCCCGAACCCTCCATTTCCCATTGGATTACATGGGAATGACGATTTTCAAAAATTCATCAAATTTATCATCAATTGTTGACCTATTGTAATTGAGGAAAAAAATTGAGAAAATTTGGAGGTATTGGAAATAAAGTCAAGTTACTTTTCCATCAATATTATAAGCTATTTTATCGCCGGTTAAGTAAATAAAAATTCAAACGTAAAGAGGCTTTAACACGTAGTTCAATGGGGAAAAAAGGTTGCCAAACTTATGGAGGGGAGTGTATTTTGCCAATTCACGACCACATTTGATCAAAATTTGGGATTTCATATGATACACCATCACAAAAGAGCTTATCTGTAATGGTAACTGTAACGTTGGCATATATGTTTGTGCCTGAAATATTTCTGAAATATTGATGAATGTTTGGTGTACTATGTATCAAGCTTAGTTTTCTAACTCCAATTAGTTTCTGGGGGCTCCACAAGGTCCATGAATAACGTCCTGCGAAATGAGAACCAACTGATTAAAGAGGAAGCTACGGTTGTATCCGCTATTTGTGACAACGGTATCTGACTTTACCGTTGACAGGGTTTTCCGGTTTGATTAGAGTAGATGCGTAGGAGATTATATAATGCAATGCTATTTTATAAAATACGGTGTTCTGATTGGCTGGAATTTGACACACGTTGCCCAGTCATTACCATTGCATTTAACTGTCATCTATTTTTTAAAAGCTTTAGATTGATATCGCTGTTACTGCTAGATGGCACTTAAATCAACTGGTGTATAAAACAAGCTTTACCATATTCGACCAGTTTTTAAAACAAGACAGATTTATGTCATTGTCACACTTTAGTGTACTTTAATGAATTAGACTTCGTTGCCCTCCCTCAACTAACATAAACTTCAGGTTATCAATATTTACAATGTTGATTCAGGCCAAACGTGCAGTGCCAAGCGTAACATTAAACAAAAACATTAAAGCACTTAATTATATGCCATATTCTCTTAAAAGAATGTCCAAAAATCTGAAGAGTGATTTGTCAAAGTGGATGGTGCTAAAATACATTTTCAATATCTACCTTTGTAACATTTAGGAATAACCTTTTGATTGATTTAGGTTATGACGGTGTTTCACTACCACGTTTTTATTTATATTGTGTTGGGTCTTCTCAAGCAAAGAACAATTATACTTTTTATCTTTTTATGTGCGTACTGATGTCATATGTTAGCCAGGTCAAAACGTCGAGCTATTAACGTCAACTTAAGATTTTAAGTCAACGTGGACTTCTACGTTTACGTGACTGAAATAGTTCAAGACGTACAAAACGAAACTACTTGTTAAGAATATGTTGATCATGCAATCTAAAATTGTTTATTTTTTATCGATGAACTTTGGTTAAACCTTTGTTATTACGTACAAAGTCAAAAAACAGACTTATAACTTCAAAGAAGTCCTTTATTTGTAAACATAATTCACATTGTTGTATAATCACACGAAATCTTCTATTTGGTAAAAATACCCAATTCATATCCATTCGACCTAACCACTAAATTGCATCACAAGCATTAATAGAGTTTATTATTTGAGTTTAGATATAAATACGCTTCTAGCTTGGCTGACAATATAATTTTGTCAATAACTTATTTGATGTTTTACTGTCGTGGTAAATTCTTTATCGTTCCCCATTGCAAGGACGGGATATATTGGAATGGTACAACAGCCAGAACAAAGGGATTGGACAAAATCAGAGACCACAAACACAAAGAGAAAACCAAGACCAAGAGAAAATTAATTTTGCAATGAATAAAATTCAAAAGCATTTACGCGAACGTTACTAGTAACTACACCAAATCATACGAAAAGATATGAACTTTATAAAATAAAGTCAAAGTTGCAATGTCGCTCTTATTTGCGCATGCGCATGTCCATCTACACTCTGGATTAAACATTAATGAGAATGTTTTGCCATCCAATGCTACTATAAAACTTGGTTAAATTTCTTCCAAAATGTATTGCTTTGGATACTTTTATGTAGTTAATAATAGTGTTTTGTATACCTAAAATAAAGTTAATTTCTCGATAGATGAAAAACATGTAGTTGAATAATATTGCACCTTTTTGATTGTGTCGCACACTAATACCTCCAGGTTTACATTTTGTTAAACATTACATGCACGTCGACCCGTATGGCATTATGCCAAGTTTCATTTCAAGACCAGATAAAGTCTCGAATAGGTCCAAAATAACATTCCTTAATTTGCCCCTCTAAAGAACATGTCGTCTGCTAGACAGATTAGACAAGAACACGATGAGGCACATGATGCCCAAGGATATCTTCTGCCAAACAACGTTCGATATGCAACTATCAATGAAGTTGGAACTTGTACTCCCGATTCTAACGTCGAAACAGGAGCAAAGTATTGCACACTAAAGGTTGCTAAAATTTGTGCTATCGCTGTTGCAGTGACTTCATTAGCGGCAAACGTCATTTTTGTCACAATGTTCCTAAAAGGTAAATGTAAGTATCTAGGGAAATTAATGCTGCATGTAAATATCAAAAACTACAAACTGGTCAATTACATCATCCATCGTAGCAAACTACACTGTATTTCTTTATTTCCCTCAAAAAACAATCGTTAAAACTGAAAATTCTCATTTAAATACATTTAAGTCTCTATCTTTTGAGCTTATTTATTTTTATCCAGATTCACCATGTGCAGTAAGTCCAAAAGGCGATTTAGAGCCGACTTCTCCTGATATACGACATAAAACCGTACGTGGTTGTTTGGATGCCATAAATATGACTGCATCCGATCCACTCGAAGAACGAACGGCTGAGAAAATTGAAACCTGTTTTGAAGAGAACAATCATTTTGATGCTATTGGGAGAAACGTTACCAAAATGACATCTTTGATGTGTAAGTTGTTTTATGGTGTTCTTATGATAGAATTCATCTATTTTGTGATAAGTAAATTGCAAATTCCTCAGATAATCAAGAAATGCATCTGAAGCGCATGTACAGTGTCATTGACGAATTTAAGTGATATTCTTTATGTAAATGACTTCATGGAGACATACACATTATGCTAACGGCGTAAACTATATCAGGTCATTTTATTGTAGCCGATTCATTTTACATAACATATATACATAGACCTATTAGTCCATGGTATGAAATCTCTAGGACGTCTTACAAAGGAGCTGGTAGCACACTATAGCGCAGCGATATTTGACCTAACATTAACATACCTACATTATGTTCCCTAATTATTTTTATTATAACCGTTTAATATACTCCCGGCTTTTGGGCTGAATTATGCCTGCCATTAACAGAGGTCAAAAAATTACCAAAAAATAAAATCCCAATTTTTCACAATTTAGACTACACAATGCAACAGAAAATAATACAAAATTATTTTAAATATACGATTTAGGTTTCTAAGCTATAAGTTGAGGTTATTTTTCTTATCAATACCAAAAAATTATGTAATCAGTGTATCAACGTTTTGCATTGTTTCTCAGGTATTAATAAGATAAATGCTACAAATGAATCACTTTTATATTAGAATGACAAATGCTTAAATTATGCTAGTTTTTCGAAAAATGGGTTTCAGTACGTTTTGAGATACGGACCTTTATTCAGCAGTGAACATAAAAATAAAGGAGGGCCTGTTGCTCTTCCTTAACTAATTGGGACTTGGTCGAATTCATGAATAATTGAGAAAAGCCGTTGTCATTATCCTCCTAAAATTTGATTATATGCGGCAAGGTCAAAGAAGAAACAACCATCAGAAAACTTGATAATAGCCAGCAATAACGTCGACAAAAAATTGTAAGGCGTTCGATTGCATATGACTCTAATTGATTATTAGACATGCCCTTGGAATATATGAACATTCCAATACCTCTGTTACATTCAATTAGATATAAATCTTACCTATTTGTTATTGTATTATATTTTATAAAACTTGAACAATAATTTGTTGTTTGACCCCTTGCGATTATAAGGAAAAAATCTGGTAATAAAATGTTTTAAATTGTAAGAAAATTAAAATGTTCCCAATCATAAATTACCTAAATATTCCAAACAATTTTGTTGAATCTGCTTGGCTCATATTGAAAATTCAAACAAAATCTGAAAAATACACTTGCGTAATTACACTAATTGAACACCATCATCTACAGTAAAGTAAAGTATATTTTTGCATTTTGATAATATATTTTTTGTTCGTATGTTTGGAATAACTGTCTGTGTCTTATAAAATGTATAAAAGTTCGAATCAAAATATTAACGTTTTTTGACCCCTTGTGATGAAAGACATTTTTTGACCCGAAAGGCGCACGTTTTTTCAGCAAATGGTATATTGAAAGAATCAAGACATATGCACCTCCATAAATATTGCTTCAAATGTTGCTGCGCTATAGTGTGCTACGGATCCTTCATATTCAGAAGTCATACCATGGACTATATAGGGTGTTTCAAATGGGAGTGTCCTTTTAGTTTCAGATGATGCGTGTCCCTCTGGAGATTTCTTGCTGGTACGAAGTAATGACCACATGTTTGATAAAGTGAGGAAGGTTCGTCCAAACTGTAAGAAAATAGTTTTGGGAATACTGACACAACATATGCTACACTCCCCGGAATATTGCTTCTATCTTGCGTGTAAAGTTAACGCCAACGTTGTATACTACGATCCAAAAATGGAGTGCGCAGCGTATAAATGTGAATCAAACTCCGATGGAATAGACTGGGCGTACAAGTGGACAGATGAGTTCGCAACTTATACAGGAAGGACATATGCCAGGCCACATACATATATCCAAGCTTGCCATAATTCGTACTTTATGAGAAGGACATGGACAAAGAGTGTTCTGGCTACTTGTTTCCGTATATCAGATACATTTGTCAAAAGCCTATCGGAATGTGTAGAAAAGGCATGTATGGATAAAGCAAATACCTTGAACTTCGTGTCCCATAGATTATCTGGATACAGTTGTGAAACACAACACTGCCAATGGGATGTTACCACAAACGACTACGTTTTCAATCTTCGACCTCATGAAGATATGCATTCGAACTCAGTGGTTTATAGTCTTTCTCATGTTACTAGACCTATTAAAAATTTACTTCAAACTGAACCAGTTGAATTTCCGATGCAAATTCCTGGACTGTGTGGGTCTCCAGGACACTTCAATGGACACAAATCAACAGATCGGGAAATATCAAACTTTTTCAGCGAGTCTGGATCCAATACATTTATATACGTAAATGGAGATAAAAAGTTCCTTGCCTATACGTGTACTCCAAACCATGAAGGAACATATTGGAAATTCTACGATAATAAATGCTATGGCGACAAGACATTTTCAAAATGGTGGATTGTTCCTTATCCAGGAACCCCGAACTGTAAATCTGACATGTTCACTCTGAGGCGTATGGGAGCATCCTGTCAGAAGTCAAATTGTGACTCGAGTGGTTCCAAGAAAGTCTCGACTGCTCGGGATTTACGACAATGCATGCTACATGCGTGTGAAAAAGGCTACAATGTCATTAACTATTTTAGTAACGCGACCTCGATTGTCTGTGAGTTGAGGAATTGTTATAGATATAAAGGTGGTGACTATAACTTTCGATACGAAGCCACGGGTGACACTTATGGATACGATGTCTACGCATTACAGCCTGATTCTAACATCTACAATAGCCGTGGGAGTAATTCTGTGTATGCAAAATACACAATATCATACAACTTTCGTCTCGATAAAACATAATTTGTATTGCAGTTTGTAAATTACACTCATATAAACTAATTGCTAAGTGAGTTGAAATACCTAAGTTAATATTATCAAAATACTTGAACATAGAAAATGATACGCAGCATTACACATTTTAAACTTGAAGTGGTATGGATATAGAGATTATCCTATATGAGGTTCAGGATATTGGGATTATCCCGAAGCCAATAGTACAATAACGTCATTTCTAAGGGCAATATAGTGAAATATTGGACCGAGGGCCGAAGGCCCAAGGTCCAATATTTCACTATATGATCGCAGAAATGACGTTATTAGTATTATTACCACCGTTAACGACCAGGACTGAAACAGCAAGAAAATCTTACGCATTGAACGATATCTAATTTCCCGGGGAAAATTGCCGGTCCAGAATATATTCTAGACCGGTCCATATGGACCACCACTATGACGTCACATATTTCTCAGGTCGATATAGTAAAATGAATGCCTTCTCAACTAGCACTAAAACCCCTAGAACTGGCCCGGCAAGGTGGTAATAATATAATATATCTGCCCGAGGGCCGTAGGTCCCGAGGGTAGATATATTATATTGGCCAAGGGATAATCCCAATATCCTTAACCGACTATAAGATGATCTGTTTATCACATACCAACCACATTGTCCAATTGTTACAGTTCAAAAACTCTGCAACCAACCGTGGAATTATTTCAAAATATTCATGTCCAGTTTTGTATTCTTTTCCGTAGCCGGATTTTCCTGTTCAAATCTTTGATTATTAACGGAGCATACTGCTCCTTCCCTTTTTAAAGCATCAAACAGATCGCGATTGTCTGCGTTTTCTCCATTGTCGTTTACAGTATGCGAACGTTACAAAAACGAACCAATACGGCAACAGCGATTATGACGTTGCGGGCAGATATACGATATCTGCCCGCTCGGAGCGGGACGTAAAGCTATATCTGCCCGCTGATGAAAATATAAGGTTTTACAAACCGGCTTTATGTACCTGTAACACGTCCAAGTATGGGATAAATAGAGATTATCCTATATGAGGTTCAGGATATTGGGATTATCCCGAGGCCAATATAATATATTTGCCCGAGAGCCGCAGGTCCCGAGGGAAAATATTTTATATTGGCCAAGGGATAATCCCAATATCCTGAACCGACTATAGGATAATATGTTTATCCCATACCAATCTTGGTCATCTGGTCTCCATTGTCGTGTACAGTCATTACGCGAACGTTACAAATTATGAACATAATATGCAAGCGGCGATTATGACGTAGCGGGCAGATATACTATATCTGCCCGCTCGGAGCGGGACGTATAGCTATATCTGCCCGCTGATGAAAATATAAGTTTTTACAAACCGGCTTTATGTACCTGTAACACGTCCAAGTATGGGATAAATACCCTTATATACCCTTATATATCCTTAATATTAAATTAAAGATCGTTTGTAACTGTGAAATGTTCTGGGAAAAATATTTTTTAAAATACTTTTTTTAATACTTCCGTTATATCTTAATAGCAAAACCGGACATATAAAATAAAGTTTGTGGAAATATTATACTATAATAAGCGTTTCGTAATATATAAAAGTGTATTCAATTATATCTGTTAATTATAACTACGCTTTGTATTTTCACACTTATTCGTTAGGGAAATCTGTATATTTGGAACTGTTGTAAACTATATCTGTTAATTATGAGTTAATGAAGACACAGAATGAAATCCTATGCTAAGGGCTGATGTGAAAAACTATGATGACTATGATTTGTATGTATTCGTTAAGAAAATATAATATCTGTATATTTGAAAATGTTGTAAATCATATCTGTTAATTATGACTATGGTTTGTATATTTACATTTGTACACTTGGAAAATACAATATCTGTATATATGAAACTGTTTTAAATCACAGGTACTCACTTAGTTACGCTGACGATACGTCAGCGTAACAAGATGGAAGAACTTCCGGGCTTCGTTTTCGGTAAGATATTTTTGCCAGTGTGACAATATTCATGAAGATCGTCAACGTAACAAAAGCGAGGGACTAAATACAGTATGTGCATTGCGTCTTCGTTAATATACAGAACATAGAACCGCCTGCATATTCTCAAACTAGACTATCTTCCTTAATTTTGAGCCAAATTATTGTCCATGTAGAATGTTACCGAAAACGAAGCCCGGAAGTTCTTCCATCTTGTTAGGCTGACGTATCGTCAGCGTAACTAGGTGAGTACCAGTGTAAATGATATATGTTAATTAATTAAGAAGATATAATATCTGTATATTTGAAAATGTTGTAATAGCTGTTAATTATGACTATGATTTGTATGTATCCGTTAAGAAAATATAATGTTTGTTTATTTTTAACTGTTGTAAATTATATAATATGCTTATTATGACTTTGATGTGGATATTCACATTTATGCATTTGGAAAATACAATATCTACATATATACAAAAAACAGAAAATACAATAAAACATTGGAATCTGAATCTGATTTGTAATTTATGTCAGTCGTGTAGCCTCAGATATGCAGACTGCCTAGCTAGCTATTTCACAGTTTTAGATTATCTATGTCAGACTACAATTAATCTTAAAGACAAGTATCATACATTAATCCAAGGCCTAATTTCGTCTCATTATAGGTAAGGAGCAGCTTCTGTACTTTTAATCCTTAATCCTAAAAAGAAACATTTGAAAAATGCTCATCTGATAAGCAGCTTCAAAAGTTCTAGCTTCAGTCATAAGGGAAACAAATTCCGAGCATTCCAGACAATGATCTGACGCACAAAGAAAATGTTGGAGACAATCACCCCAGGCCTCTACCCTACCAGTGTTCTATTCCGTGGCACTTGGTTTGTAGTATATAGCGCGGAATTGTTATGAAACGTTTTCTCCATTCCCGAAAGGTACGGTCACCATTTTTACCGAAATTATCAGTAATATTCCGTAGTAATGTAAACAAATCCAGTGCCACAGAATAGAACAATGGAATAGGGTACAATTGATGGATATAATTCAGCATCAACTGGAGTGTGAACGCTGACATTAAATATGTTGTCTACTATATAAGGTACACATTTCTATAAGAAATTGACTGGAAATGTTTTGAAAATCTATCAGAGCGGGAGAAACGAACATAACTACTGTATGTCGTCAAACTGGAGTCTTTTCAGGAGATTGTACCCTAAGTATAATAAACAGCGGCCATTTTGAAGAAAACGGTGAACGTGATGAAAACAAACTATCTCCTTTCTGTAAGATTTGTCATTGTTACTGAAGTGTTTTACAAAACGAAAACATGTTGTAGTGATTGATTGTTTTATGTTTGTTTACTTTTATCTTCAGACACTTCCTGTCGCCAATTTTTAAAGCAGAACCTTCTTATGTTTGCCTAAATTAAGTTTCGTTTTGTGAAGACCTCGAACCTATTATGCTAAGTGTCCGTATCTTACATAAGATGTCAAAATAACTAAGTATACAATTGATTTACTGGTCTGTAATCGGTGTTATATATCTACTAAATTTTCATTAATAGTCCATAAAACTCCTCGACTTTGCAATTTATTACCAAAACAATTTTATGGCAACATAAATTAATAAATCTTGGTCTAAATTATTTAAACGTTATTCAGGACATATGTAATGTAAATATAATCTAAAAACCCTCCTGACACAATACTTTACCCAATCATGTGAGATTGTTGTTCAGAATTTCAGGTTTATTGAAACAACCAAGCTGTGAATTAAGAAAAATGATTGGTAAGGACGGCACAAATCAATGTAAAAGTAAAAACATAATTATTTAATTGTAGTATGTAGTCTTACAGGTTGGTGAACTCTATATAGGGGGTATATCAAATTTTATCAAAGAGATTAAACATTAACATTTAACTACAGTACTGTTAACGTAGAAAACCTCACGTTACATAATTTGAAGAAGACCTATTTCTGCGAGGTTAATGTTTCAAAGATGCTTATTTTGACAAATACTTTGTTTGGAGATAAGATAACGCTAACTTGTTGGATAGGGGACTAGGTGGCGTCGATTTTTATAAAAATCTCAAGTAAGTTCATTGTACAGATATGTTAGATTATCAGTCTAAATATTTGAATGTAGTTAATATAATCTAAATATTTGGTACATCAATTTTATTTGAACATTGTTATGACAAGCTTCATTTTGTAAGTAGGAAGACTATTTAGAAAAATCATTTGTCCGGCAAACTTTTGAGAAAATTGCAAGGAATCGAAGGAACAATCTTCATAAAGAATTTTTATCGTAAGTATTTGAACACAATATTTTCCCAATTCGTTCATTATTGTACATTGTCTTGTTGTAGCTCAAACTTTCACAAGGTGCCTCGGAGCAACCAACGATTCCGTCTTTCCCGAGAAAGGTCACAGTTCAACAAGTCGAAGATATAACAAACAGCCATCAATAATGCCAGGAGAAAATGACAGACCTGTCGTAAACGGTGGGAAAATAAATGGACATATGCCAGTAGAAAATATCGGGAATGGCGGTGATGTCAGAAGACCTTTACTAAACTTTCAGAGTTATGATGAGAGCACTGAGAAAAAACGGAATCGAGAAAAACGCTGCACATTAAAGGTTGCCGTAATTTGTGCTGTTGTTACTGCAATTCTGACTGGAGCTGTTGCTTCTTGCGTTACATGGATATTGCTAAAAGGTAATCTAAACTTTGCGAAGTTTTGAAACTGTTATTAGAGACTATAACATCTGACAGGTGAAGGGTCAAATAGCTTTCTTTTTATTGTTGTGTTCATGTTTATCCATAATGCAGAAAAATCAGAGGGGTGAAATTTAACATCAACCTCCTTGCATTCAGTAGGTTTTACACGGGTCTTGATTTGTATTTTGTGGTTTAGGGTGCCCCTTTGTGTTCCACAATAGTCATTCATAATTCGGGGAATTGGATGTACGGAATTAGAACCATGGCCTTGGGCCTTTTCTTTTATCTCACTCTATTTAA